GCGATATAAGATGTATATCTCGATTATTTATTTTTTTTAAGCCATAAAGTAAGAACAAAACGAGAGTTCTTAGTCCAAGCTGTGTCCCAGATGTCACACAGGCATTTCTATTAACATAGAGCAGATGTACATAAGATTTACTCAAAAATTAATTATGAGCATTTATTAAATAATAATGCTCCATAAATAAAAGAAAACAATGTTGTTTTTGTGCATAACAAAAAGCTCACAATTGTGCAGTCAAAATGTAAACTAAAAGACGCTGAGCATAATAACAAAGACAGATTTCACAGCTGCTCTGTTCCCAACTTCTACTGTGTGACTGACAGCATTGAGTTTGAAATCCTGTTCGTAACCACGTCTCTTAACAGGTGCCATTTATAGTCCTTATACACAGTAGGGTAATATTACGTTGAAGCACAGTACGTATCACTCCACGAAGGCTCTTCGGTAGCCGTAATGCTCTGACAATCCATCAAGCGGTGCAGCACCGTAGCTTACCAACGTCGTACTAAAACATTTTTTGACAGATTGCTGAGCGCCGTGTTCCACATAAAAATCGGTTCGCAGCCATCAAGCACAAACAGAATTCATACATAAGGAGCGCTGTCAACTTTTGAGAAAATGAAAGGATTTTAGGCCGTGCAGCGCCTCTGGGCTGCATGGCGTTAGCGTGGTTAGCTTGTTAGCGTGGTTAGCTAGCTAACACGTTGACGGCGTCCAGCCCCACGCACGGGGCGATGTGCAGTAACTCGGACACGGCAAATCTCCGTTAACATCTTGTCGCTTCCTGCAGGTGAAGCGATGGGGGAGGAGGGGGAGCTGTGTTCAGTGAAGGAGGGGCGAGGCCGAGTAATGTTGCGTAAAGACAAAAGTGGACGAAAGAGAGGCAAACTTGCGGCTCCACAAGTATAATTATAACATAGACTATATCGATATAAAGGATATTGTCACACCTTATATCTCGTAAAAAAATATAGCGATATTTTTTAAAAACTCGATATATCGCCCAGCCCTAGTGTCAGTTATAACTGGACTCTCACAGCCACTTTATTCGGTACAGTTCACTAGTACTGGGTTAGAGCTCCTTTAACTCTTAGGTGCTTGGCTTCAACTGGGTTATACAAGCATCACAGGTTTTGGTTTGTGTGGACATGACATCATCATGACCTCATGATGCTGGTGCATCCATGAATCTGTCGATGTGAATCTGAAGCAAAGGAGGATCCCTGCTTTCAGGTTGTTAACGCCAAACTCAGAATGTAGCAGCAGGAATCGAGACTCATCAGAGCGTTTTTTATCTTCTGCTTCCTTCTGTCCTTTCCCACGCTGCTCTGTTGTAAGGTGCTGTTTGCAAGGCAGCGCGTAGCAGGTATAAAATGTCCTTTAGCTGGTGGGAGTGGCACCGGTGTGGTCTTCTGCCGCTGTAGATCATCTGTTCTAAGGCTCAGGGGTGCTTTTCTGCATACCTCGGTTGTTATGAGTGGTTATTTGAGTTTGTTGCTTTTACTATCAGCTTGAAGCAGTCCAGGGCTCGCAAAATTGCTAGCCCGGCGTCCCGGAGCTAGCGATATCTCCGGGCGAGCGACCAAAATCTATCTCAGCCCCACCCGTCGGCTTATCATATAGCTCAGTTCAGTCACCTGAAGCACTTCTGTGAGCACCAGCATTTGTCTAATTTGGCTGTTGCACAAACGAGTTACTTTCACTTCTGTGCTGAGTGCTTAAAGGTCAGGCTCAGTCATGAAAGCAGCGACGGAGCTCCATAGATCCACTAATCACACTAATTGCATTTAAAAAGCGAACAATGCTGCTCCCTCATAGCTTTAACCTCCCGTCTGCTGGGATCAGTTGTCTGATCCTTTTATTAGCAGCTGTTAGTGTTTGTAACAGGCTCACCTCTCTGTATTTGTTTCTTTAACCTGCTTCACACTTTATGCCAAACTCAGAAAGTAAAAACCTGCAGTTTGAGTCATGCAGTCACCCTCATACGTGTAAACCATGGCAACTAAACTCACAGGTTCAGTGTGACGATGACTGAGTGAGACCAGAAGGTGTCGCTGTTCTCAAAGTGTTGGAGATGAAACACAGCTATCGGTACACTCCCCACTAACACAAAGTTAAGGCAAGTCAGTGGATTTATGGCTGGAAGAAAACAGAGCAGGAAACAAGACAACACAAAAGTGTTCAAATTTAAACGCTGGGGAGTAAATATGTGTCTTCAGGTGGATTTTAAAGATGTCGAGTGTTGGAGAAGTCTTAATCTGAAGACCAAGGCCTGGTCTACCTACAGAAACAACCAGGAGCATCATTCTCCATGAAGTGTGGACACAGCTGAGGACCAACAAAGATGTTCAAGTGTCATTTTAACTGTGAGGTGTGTTTTTAAAGAGGACATGAAACACTGAACATGTTTACCCCACTGATCCTGACACACCGGGTCATGTTCAGCACCATCTTCTGTCAGTACGAGCGTGACGTCATGTGATTGGTTGGTTGAGGCTAACAGGCGCACATTCGTTTATGTTAGCTAACTAGTGACAGGATCGATACCTCAGAGGAAAATAGGGACATTAAAGCTAAACATCAGTGTGAGGGGATCACTGTAGTGCTGCAGCAGTGAGTTTATGTGAAACCAGGACATACTGTGGACATACTGTCCACTTTACTGTCTGTGTCTGTAGCAGGAAGTGGCTGTTTGGCTAGCTGCACTGAAACAGGAAATCCAGCTGTTAGCCGTGATGTTGGTGTTTGTAAAGGACAGTGTAGAGGAGAGGCTGTTAGCTGCAGCCAACCAACCACCTGACGTCACGTTCGTACTGACAGAAACATGTTTTTATAACTTTAAGCTGTTATTTGTTAAATCCAGCTTCACAGCAGTTACATGTGTGTCAGAGTCAGAGCTCAGTGGGGTAAATTAGCCTCGATGTGTTCAGTGTTTCATGTCCTCTTTAATACGCTGTTAGACAAAAACATTTCTTATCAGTTATTAAAGATGCTGCAGCTTCGTGCTGTCTCAGACCAAAATTAGTCTCAGCAAGAACTGAAGCGACAAGCTGCAGAGAACATCTGCTGATCCTGAGACTCTTCAAGGACTCAGAAAACCATCTGCTGAAGGTGTTTCACCTGTGACTGGAAGAAGTTACAGTGGATCTAAATCCATTAAAACACCCCAGATGTGGACCCACAGCTGTGTACTCTGAGTACTCTGTGTGAAAGTAGACATCCTGACTGCAGTAGATGTCCAGAAGTTATTGTACCTAAGAAACCAACATGAACGTGATGTCAGTGAAGGCAGCGCCCTCAGTCTGTCATTAGTAACGGAGCCTTCTGTTGTTGTGGATGATGGAGTGACAGCAGCTTCAGTCTGCCCTTCAATTTAACCTGCAGCTCGTGCTGCGGCCAACCATCCACATACCTGCCATCCCCCTGACCGATGACATCACCGCGCCACACCCTATCATTACCGAGGTCATTACCTGAGCAGGTCGGCCCTCTGAGCTGCGCTTTGAGATGCTGTTTCTTCATGGGAAGACGTCTGAGCTGCCTGCTCATGTTTAACGGCTGGCTGTTTTGTGCCTCGTTGGTTGGTCGAAGATTCAGAAACAAGCTGCTGGGAGCGCGCCGATCCTCTGCCATGGCTCCGCCTACACTGATAGACAGCTGGAGGTGTTTCAGACAACAGGGATCACCTGTGTCAGACTGGACCCGCCCACCTGTGTCAGACTGGACCCGCCCACCTGTGTCAGACTGGACCCGCCCACCTTTGTCAGACTGGACCCAGTATGCTCACAGACGAGCCGTTGGTGTTTTCGGTGCAGTCACCAGGCAGTACGCATGTGTGTTTTATAGACAGTCACAGGAGTCCACTTGTGAATACGAGCTCTTTGACGCTCAGTTGTTTCCGCTCTTTGAACCTCTGGCGCTCTGACTTGTTTTGTCCTCAGCTGGTCAGCGTCCTTGTGTCCCGGTCGCCAGCGATGTGCCAGTTAAAGTGATGCAAGGTACTCGCTCCAAACCTTACATTCATAAAGCTGTAGCAGCGTCACTGTTTGGATCCAGGTGATGAAACCCTTTGATTTGATCAAACTGCTCTCAGATCTGATAAAAGAACACGCGTCAGACGAGCGCTGATTGGTAGCACAGATAGCCAATCAGAGTGTGTGTGGTCAGTGATTAGAGCGGCTGATGGTGGAGGAGGTGAAGCCGAAGTAATCTGCAGACAGACGATCAGATCGGCTGATCTGCCTGACCTCAGATCTGTGATGTGCTCAGATATTCAAACGTCCTCTTGAACTCTGATGACTCAGAAGCTCCATGACGGCGTAACGATCATAAACATGCTGTGATACCGGCGCCGTGTCCTTGCAGCTGATACGGATCGGTGAGCTTCAAACAGCTGCCGCTAGGGCTGTTCGATATAACGATATATATCGGATGACGATATAAAAACGTCGATCGTTTCATTTTACGCTATTGTTTGTTTCGTGGTGTCGCAAAATAAACTGTTTACAGCAATATTTGTTCATGGTTCTGATGTCACTGTAGTGGCTGTATTCATTTATTAAAGTTCTCTCTTTCTCTTATATGTAATATGACCACACTATGGACAAGCGCCTGGTTTTATGTGTTGTTGTTAGCAACAGCAACGGTAACAGCATCGTGTGTCCGCTTGTTTATGTTCCACATAAACCTTTCACAATAAAACTCAAGATCCTGTTGAGACTTTTCAAAATAAACTGAATCACGTGAAAGAGCAGATTATTTACGATGAGAAGCAAAAAAAGAGCCGCCAGGTGCTAAAAAAATCAACCTTAGACTCAAACGTTAGAACAGGCTTTTCCCCGCAGCACGCCGTGTGATAAATACAAAGAAAACGGCGCCGTTACAACTTATGTCTAAAAATGTATCGTTTCATGCATCGTTAAAACACTCGAGGATGCGCAGCTGGAAACACTTCACACAAGTCGAGCTGCCCGAGATTCACAGAATTTACAGAAAATGTTACATTTTTGTGATTTATATCGTTATCGGACGATAGATGTCTGATATCGGGATGTGAGATTTTGGTCATATCACACAGCCCTAGCTGCAGGAGCAGAACAGCTTCTCCAAGCCGGTTCAAAGATCTGCTTCTAAAGGAACCACAGGACGTTCTCCCCAAGTAACTGAAACTACTCCAACAGCTCTGTGGGGAGCCGCTCTGCTTTTTCTGACAGGACGTTTTTCCATGAGAAAGGTACGCTGAGACACAGTACAGCAACAACACAATACTAACATAACAACAATAAGAGTAAGTAAGGAGATAAAGTATATGTCACTGTAGACGGAGCAGCAGCATGTACACAGCATGCTTACAGTCCAGCGTTCTTTCTAAGATCTTCTCATCATTTGGTCTGAACATCAGACCCACGTTATGTTGAAGTAAGTCAGTATTTGTCTCCTAACACAGACTGACACTGGCTGGGTTTGGAGTCAGGTTGGTTCATCTCCTTCTTCTGACTCGAGAACAAAGTTAGTTTTTTTCAACAAACACATTTTTGTTGAAAAACAACAAACTTTTTGCTTTCCAGCAACAAATATTCAAATCTGAGTGGCGTCTGAAAAACATGAAGACAAACACGTGAAATGAGAGTTTGTTAGCTGCTGGTGCTGATGGAGAGAGCAGGTGTTAATGTTCCTGTTTGCTTTGCTGTCTCCGTGTTCCACGTGTCTTTGTTTACAAGGAACATTAATCTCTGTTTTTACCTGTGTGCATCCCAAGGCTGCTCACACCTGATTGGTCAACAGGACAGAAACCTGCAGATGTTCACATCCAGATGTGTTCATAGAGACGGGGTTACCTGTTCTGAAGCTGCTCCTTCAGGTTCTCGAGGGAGATAAAAATTTGTTAGAGGATCATGAAATCAGAGTGAGGGTCACCTGTGCACAGGTGTTACAGAGACGGGAACAGAAAGAGCAGCAGATTAAACTTAAAAACCCGTCCAGCTGCTAACAGGTGATCCAGGCGGGTTCTCCAAGTTCTTCAGGTGCTCTTTGGTTTCGTGCCCTCTGGGTCTCACATGTACTTCCTGTGTGTTTCAGGGGTCCTCAGGACACGTGCTTCGAAGGCGGAGTGTTTCCAGCCATCCTCAGCTTCCCCTCCGATTACCCCCTCAGTCCTCCAAAGATGAGGTTCACCTGCGACATGTTTCACCCCAACAGTAAGTCCACCTGCGGCTGAGCTCCGCCCCCTCACCTGCACAGACAGCTTGTGTTCTCACAGGGTTTTATGAAGGTTAAAGCTCGGTTCAGACTGGAGGTGTGTTTGTGGAGAAGCTGATGTGATGTTTATCCTCTCTCCCTCTCAGTCACTTTAATCCAGCACAGTGAATCACCGCAGCGACGAGCTCGTGTTTCCGCGGTTTTAGACTCGTTTAGAGCCTCGCTCTCAGCTTTTAACCCGTCATGTTCACCTGAAAACAGACAAACTCTTAAACACACCTGGCACACCTGAGTTACTCCAGGTGTGCCTCAGATTCCTGAACAGAACACGCTTGGTTTGCGTCTGTTTTGATAGGTAAACAGACCGCAGTGACCCCCTCAGTCATGTGACAAGTCATGTGACACAAGGCTGCGTTGTCACAGTAACGGCCAAAGCTCCTGAGAGTCGGTTTGACTTCAAAGCAGTCATGTGACCAGTCACAGCACGCAGCACTAATGTGAACATGCTGCTAACGTGCTGTTAGCATGCTGTTAGCGCGCTGTCATTACTGCTGTGATTAGAGTGCTGAGCCATGATGTCACAGTAGGGTAACAGTCTGAGCACGCTCAGTCCTGATTAGAGGACAAGCTGTTCGCTGCTGGCCCATCATCACCACCCTGCACCAGCATGCCCCCGAGCTGAACTTCCTCCTGCAACTGTAGCGTCTGATCATCCATCAACAGCCTGCAACCGCCGCAGGTGAAACCCACGAAGAAGAAAACACTGAGCGGGCCTGAACCTCCTCAAAGGTGATGGAAAAAACACGTCTCAGGTTTCAAAAGAAGAGAAAAAGTTTTCAAACTTTCTGAGCTGAACGTTTACTCACCATCTGCCCTGCATGGCACCGCTCACACAGGTGAGAACAGGTGCCAGGCTGCCAGCAGGTGTCTGTAGGTCTGCACCACCCAGCTCCTCTGCATCAAACCTGTTGTTTCATAGAAATGTGAAATATCTGAACGAATAAATATAAAGGTTGTTCTCCATCCTGCATGGCTCCAGCTGCAGCAGGAGGTTTATCTTGTTTCCTGAATTGTTGGAAGCTGAGATTCAAATGTGAAATGATCAGATTAACTGCTCGGCTCTCGTATCTATTGTGTGCTGATAAAACAGCAGCTGTCAAAGCAGGAACGTCAGACAGCCGACAGGAAGCACTTTGCACACTGATAGCAACGAGATGTTTGATGGAAACAGATAGCCTCTGAGTGCTGCCTCACCTGACGGGAGGCTTGTTTACCTGTCAGGTGTTGTTCTACTGCACCTGTGAGGACTCGATGGCCGGGCGGCACTTTGAGGAGCAGATAAAGAACATCCTGTTTCCAAATATGTCCTCGCTGAAAGTGTTTAATGAAGTTTTTACAAAAAAATGAATCCCAAAAACTCAAAGAGAGGCTCACGACACGACACGCGGGTCTCAGCTTTAATGAAGCGTTTGAACAGAAATGTCTTAAAATCAGATTCACAGCATTCAGAAACATCCACCCATGCGTGTCGGGGCGGTGGAGCCTGTCCCAGCAGCAGGTCCACCTGGACAGGTCACCAGTCTGGCAGCATTCGCACCTGTGGGCATTACAAACTAAAACTGTGTGTTGAACTGGTCGTCGTTAAATATGTTGGATTCTTTCAGATGGGCGGGCTGAGTCGTGCTCCCTTACTAATCATCTTCCTCCTCCTCCTCAGTCTATCCGGACGGTCGGGTCTGTATCTCCATCCTCCACGCTCCGGGCGACGATCCGATGGGATATGAGAGTAGTGCAGAGAGGTGGAGTCCGGTCCAGAGTGTAGAGAAGATCCTGCTGTCTGTGGTCAGCATGCTGGCAGGTAATCACACACCTTTCTGTGATGTCATCATGTGTAAACCATGCTTCACCTGCGTACTCGGTCCTCTCCTCTCAGAGCCCAACGATGAGAGCGGAGCGAACGTCGATGCCTCCAAGATGTGGCGGGAAGATCGAGAGCAGTTCAACAAACTCGCCCAGAAGATCGTACGCAAGTCTCTGGGCCTGTAGAGATGATGTCATCAGCCTGTGCCCTGTGTGTGTGTGTGTGTGTGTGTGTACAGCAGAAACAAATGGCATGGACAGACACACATACACAGGGCGCTCAGTATGGACAGATCAATACATAAACTGATGGATGGAAGCCGATCAAAGGACACAAACCAAACGCGATGACATCACCACCACTTTCACTCCAACAGCAGCAGCAGAAACGGCGCCGCCATACCTCGTCCGTCTCCTCTGCAGGACAATATTTATCAATAAATTCATGAAAAGATCAATTTAAACTTTGTTTGTATAGGATAGAAATTATGTTTTACCTGAAGCTGTTGTCCCATAGCGCCCCCTGCTGTGCCGCCTGGTGCTGTCAGCGTACAGTTGTCGACACAGAGGGGAGCCGGTCTGATGTCCAGGAAGTTTCTCATCATTCCGATCTGGTTTAAAGTTCAGGGATTCAGACTGCTGACGGATCGAAAGAGTCCTGCAACCGCAGTACCCCGCCCCGCCCCGACTCCTGCTTCCTGTTTCTGTTCGTTTGCTGCTGTTGGCGAGAAATCGTTTCTGATCTGACTGGTTGATAAACGTGGACTTGGACTGGACGTCCGGTCGGACGGAAGCACGCCGGCTTCTCTCAGCAGGACTTCATGCACTTTATGTCTTCCTGAAGGAGGACGTCGCGATGGTTCAGCTCGCCGAGGAGCTGACGGGAGCGCAGAGCTTTAGTTTGAAGGGTTTCTTTGAATTTGTCTGATTTAACAAACGATTAATAAAAAATACCAAGAGCAGAGCGTGAGCTGGTTATTCATTACATCTGAAAGCAGGTCCAACATTTAATAAAGCTGCCTTTTTTCTCTCACTGCAGTTTTGTTCAAATAATATCAGCTGAGAAATGGAAGCCCA